TTGTGGAGAGCAAGAAACAGAGCATGAAGCAGAGAAGCCAAGTTTTGCTGACCTTCCACTATGCCTCCTTGAAGTAATAATATCACAACTTGTGTTAAAAGATAACATTCTCGTATCCGCTGCCTGCAAAACATGGCGTGAAGCGGCTGTTTTTGTCCGGTGGGTAGATAGGCGTCCTTGGCTTATGTACTTACCTAAACGTGGAAACTTGTTTGAACTCTATGATCCATTGCAACAGAAGATGTACACATTGAATCTACCCGAGCTAGCCAAATCCACGGTGTGTTACTCAAGAGACGGATGGTTACTTATGCGAAAACCCACTTCCAAGGAAATGTTCTTCTTCAATCCGTTTACTCGTAAGCTCATAAACTTACCAAAGCTTGAGTTGGCATATGATGCAATCGCTTTCTCTTGTGCACCTACATCAGGTACTTGTGTGCTACTAGTACTAGCGTTTAAGCATGTTGAGGATGCTTTTATCACCACTACAAGCACATGCTATCTCGAAGCAAACGAGTGGACTACTGAGGATTTAAATTTCTTCCGTGGTTATGGAATCAATAGGCTCAAGCATAGCAATGTTGTCTATGCCAAACGACGCTTTTATTGCCTTTAACGGTAAAGGAAGGTTATATTACTTTGAACCGTCTACTCGAGAATGGCATTATGATACTACGAATCAACCGGAATGTCCTTATATCTCATATTATAGGTACGAGTATGAGAAGAAGAAGAAGAGGATTTTCTTGGCGGTGCGTAAAGGAGAGTTCTTTCAAATGTTTACATGCGGAGGTGAGAAACCGATTGTGTATAAACTAAGCTCTGTGTCATGGGACGAGATCAATAGTAGTACGCTCGATGGATTGACAATCTTTGCGAGTCTTTATTCCTCTGAGACGAGAATGAATCTCCCATGGATGAGGAATTGTGTTTACTCCCGAGGCTACGGTTTAGTAGCAAACGTTGTGTATCGTATTCGTTTGATGAAAGAAGGTATTATCCGCGAAAGCAATGGCAAGAACAGGAGGATCTATGTCCTGTTGAGAATCTTTGGATTAGGCCGCCGAAGAAAGCGTCTGATTACATGTGAAGGCTCAAGCAATCATGGAGAAGCTTTAGAATACCTCTGGTTACGGTGGAAGAGTAAGATCATTTCATTTATCTTTAGGACTTAACTCTCTTTTTTTATTTGTTTTGGATCAGTTGAACTACTTGC